ACACATTTAAGAGTAAATATTACGGGTTTTTAAATCTACTTTTTAAAAATTTCTTGCTTATAACAGATTATTTACGGGCTATGACATATCAGTTAAATTTTATTTTATTTTAAACTTAAATTATATTTATTTAATAAATTATTAATCTATTTATAGTTTTATTATTATTAATTAATAATAGATAATTAATTTGATTTTACTTCCTTTTTTAAAAAACTAAAATTTTCAGTTACCCAATTTTAGGGATTTATTTTCCTTGTTTACCGTTACCATACCCAATCATCCATCACACCACCATCCCACACGTTTCTTCACTCCCACACGACTCAACCCACAACCCACTATCAAACTTTCTCCATTCTTTCTCATCTAGTCCAACATCAAAATCGATTACCATCTTACCCACGATTATTCATCATCATGTCTAAGAAACAAATTGAAACTCCACGAAAGACACCCATATTTGACGGAATTTCAACTGATGATGCTCATGCTCCATTGTTTAATATATTATCTCAAACACCCCGTCTAAAACTGTTCAAATTCCGGCCACCGGTGGTCCATCTCGTTCTAAGAATCAAAAAGATAAAAATAATGAAGCAAACCAAAGTGCGACTACGGCAAATCAAAGGGGGGAGAAGAGGAAGGGGAAAAAAACTTGTTGAAACCCCTCCAGAGTCTGATTCCGACTCGGATTCGAATTTTATTGGTCAAACAAAAAAGAAGAAAACAAAAAAAGCAACAAAGGTTGAAGTCGCTGAAACATCAAAACCTTATACAAGAAGAAAAACAAAAAAGAATGAACCGGAATTACCAAAATCCAAAAATCCCAAAAAAATGGTTAAGGTAAGTAATTTATTTAATTTATTTTTCACATTACTCAAAATAGTTATTTTTTTATATCACATTATTATTATTGTTGTTTTCAAATTTTTGTTTTTCTAAATTTTATTCCAAATCTGAATGAAATGTTTATGCATTTGATTATAAATTTTAAATGATGTATTTTGTATGAATTATGATACAACATTGATATGCATATGAATTATTAAGTTTGTTTTCAAATTTTAAGATCTTATTTAAATACTCTGTATTGTATAGGTACTCCTGAAATTTTTTGAATAATAAATGTATGAAGTGTGTGTGAATAGTATATGTATGAAGTGTGTGTGAATAATATGTGTATGCAGTGTGTGTGAAATGTGAATATAATGTATGTCATATTTTTTATAAATATTGTCTATGAAATGTGAACTATGGTTATTGCTGGAAAGAAAATTGTGTATATAGTGTGTGTGAATAATATGTGTATGTTGTGTGTGTATAATTTATGTCATTTCTTTATACATACTATATATGAAGTGTGTGTGAAATGTGAACTATGGTTACTGTTGGAATGAAAATTGAATTCTATGTGTGTGAAGTGTGTATGAAATGTGAAACTATTAAGTTATGTATGATTTGTGTATTGTAACTGAATAATATGTGTATGAAAATGATATTTTCGTATGAAACTGAATAATATGTGTATGAAGTATCTTTTAATGTAGTATACACAATTTTATTTTATAGGAAAAGAAGAGACACACACTGGTCTTCATGTACCAACATGAATGTGTTTGCTGATCTTTTGACTTTTCTTGGGCAAAAAAGATTTCAACAATCCTGTGGCATTATGGGAAAACAAAGAATGAAGATGGCGCGATCAGTGAAAGTGAAGTTACTGGTACGGTTCCTAGCAAATGTGGTGGACCTCGGATAGCAAAAGAACATGTTCCAGATACCACCAATTATTCTACGCCAATATCACCGACTAGAAAGTTGAAATAGTTGATTGCACCTTCTACTTTTTAAGAATTACAAATTATTTTTTTTAACTTTTGGATAATTTTTTTCTGTTTAACTTTTGGATGATTCTTTTTTGTTTAAGTATTTGATGATATATACTACAATATGTTATCAAAATAGTTGATTGCACCTTTTGATTCTCTTTTGAATGTTCTAAAAATTGTAACACTGTGTTTTTAATTATACACATGGTGGACTGACATGCACTAACCTATAATGTTTGGATATTATAAGGTCAGGACAAATATTATACAAACTTCATACAGTTCTGATACACTATTTTTTTAAAGTAGCATTGTGTTTTTAATTTGTATAATGAATGGATGAAACGTGTATGAAATACATTTTATATGCATATGTCTATGACTTCAATATTAAATGTTGGATATTTGTATTTAGTCATGGTATAATTTTATAGTTGTATTTTGTCTTATTTTCGTTTGAATTAAATATGATTTATATATGTCCGACAACAATTTAAATTAGTCACTAATATATACAATATCTTTAATATGGAACAAATTTTATCATTAACGATATGCAAGCTGTCACATTTGTTTTAATTTATACACGATTCATTTATTAAGTACACAAAATTCAGTTGTTACTAAAATTTGTTCAAAGCACTAAATTTATAACAGTATGCATTCTGTATGATAACTGAATGATAAAGACTAGAAGAATCGTATATAACCCCCTCCATTTGAAAATTGACATAATTTCCTATTTCATTAAAAAAAATACAAATTAGTCTCGCATTATAAACAAACAATTCGAAATACAAATATTGAGGTAAATTAATTAAGGGTCACCCTCTTTAGGGAATCTCCCAAAGACATCACATTTATATATTTGTCTTTTATTAATTTATATATTACATTTCTCAATGTGTTTTAGGTAAAAGTCAAACTCATTAATTAACAATCATTTTTGTGGTTCTTTCTGTCTTGTGACGATGCATCAACATTAAGAGATATTAATTTTGTAATTATTTTTTTAAAAAGTACCTCTAAAGTTTGTATTTTTTTAAAATAATAGTAGCCATTTCAAATAAATATAGGACCTTAGTTTCAACTAAATACAATTAGAGATTCATGTATTATCTTTAACATTAATTATTTATTCTTTAAATTATTTTTTAATATTAATATTAATCATTATTTAATATAAATATTATATCAATAATTATTTTTTAAATGATAAACAAAGTTCAAAGTAAATAAATAAATATAATATATGATTTGAGATACATGATATTGTCAATGTTTTGTTGGTTCTTTTAAGTCAAAAGGTGAAATAATAACATGGAATATGGTCCATTATATACACGAGCTATAATAATACAGCCCATTGTAACACGATCACAAAGAGAAACCATGGGTACGCTGCTCGAAAAATGGAGAGTATAGTATTGTATTGAATTGAATTTAAAGTTTTCTTGGATAACCTTTCTAGAAATTTGAATATTTCTTTTAATTCCTTAAATCCAATTCTCTTTTATTTCACCATTCCCAAAATAATTTCTTTTCATCAAATTAGAAATTTCTTAGATTATTTTATTATAATGAGCTTGGTAAAATTTATTTACACAAATCAAATCACTTTAAATCAAAAGACATATAAATAAACATGATTTAGTAGTCTTAATTCATGTATGCATTTTATTAGTCTATTTTAGAAAAATGATATTTTTTCATATTTAAAAATATTTTACTTTTAACTTTTTTTATTTAAATAATATGATTTACAACAATACACATATTTATGACTTTTTAAAAATATTTCTTTCTTTCTTAAAATTTATAACTAGTCAAAATGTATGATTAACATTGGGATGGGAAAATATTTATTTTTAGTTTTACTACACTTTTTTTGTATTTAAATATTTTAGAAAGAACATTCGTTGTTTTGAATAATATTATAAAAGACACGAATTAAAGTTGGAAATAAATACTCCCTTAGTTTCAATTTAAGTTTTTTTTTTTAATTTGAATTTGAATCGACATGGAATAAAAAAAATAATAAGAAGAAAGAGACCTTAAAATTTTATATTTTTACATTAAAAATATGTATTATTCTTTAAATCTTTAGTTTTCAAATTGTGGTGTAAATTTACTATGATCAGTAGTTAAAGATTTAAAAGTCATAAAAACAGCACAACAAAGACCCTTGGTGCACCACCGAACTTTCACTTTTATTAAGACCTTTACCGGTCGTTTGATCGGAAACAAATAATTTATTTTGAAATTAATTATTTTGAGATAAGTTATTTCACATGTATACGTAATAACTTATTTTCTATCAATAATCCTTCCCAATTATTGAATATAATAAATATAATATTTTTAAAAATATAATATAAAAATGACTATACTTAATGATAAGGGTAAAATAGGAACTAAGGGGTTATTTGGTGTGAGAGATAAAAATAAATAGTGATATAATAAGAAAATAGTGATGTGATAAATGGATAAAAGTTTTGTATCTTGTTTGGTTGTCATATTTGGAATAACTTATTCACCATTTATATCATAGTGATGAGATAAGTTATCACATATACATGGTATATACATGGTGGGATAAGTTATCTCAGGATAGGTAACCCCATGATAATTAATCATGGGATAACTTGTTCCCAACCAAACGACCTCTAAGTGTAAAATAATCCATGGATTTCATAAAATGAGACAAGTATTGTTAGATGTCCCAAAATAGTATAGTGGACAATTACTATAGGATGGAGAGAGTATTTAGTATAAAGAAAAAAATGTCTGAAAAATACTTTAACTTTGGCCGAAATTGTTGTTATGACACTAAACTTTATGGAAGACCTTTTACCCCTGCACTATTTAATAGTGTATTTTAAAGGTGTATATGTGCCCACGTGGACACGTTACTATTTATAATAATACAATATTTATGATGTCCACGTGGACACATATATACCTTTAAAATACATTATTAAATAGTATAGGGGGGTAAAAGGTAATTTCCAAAGTTCGATATTGTTACAACAATTTCGATCAAAGTTCGGATATATTTCAGATTTTTTCCCTAATATAAATAATTTTATATTTCATAATAAAATTATTATACCTTATACATCATACAAAACGGATTGTACCATTGGAAAAATGTAGAAATTGGGAGAAGACAGCAGCCCATTGGAATCTGTAACTACCACTACCAAAACAGAGTTCTCAAATCTCAATGTCTTCTTCCCTTTATATTCCAATCAACAACTACTACTATTTTAACTTCATTTTTCCTCTCAAGAAAGAGATTCACATACCCTTTTCCTAATTTTACAATACAAGCAAAAAAACAGAACAGAAGAGAGCAAGAAAGATGAACATGTGGAGTAGACATGTTAGATGGTTGTCTACCTCAGTAGCAACAAATAGGAAAAACAATATGGGATGGTGGGACCATGTACAGCCAGCTCCTAAAGATCCAATCACCAGTGTCACTCAGGCTTTTCTTTCTGACCCAACTCCTCTCAAGCTCAATCTTGGTGTGGTACTGTTCTCTCGTCTCAATTTATTTGTCTGATTTTGATTTGACTCATAATTTAAGAAACTAAATGAACTTTTGAATGTACCATATGTCCTTTATTTTTTTATTACAAAGTTAGAATTAAGAATTGTCAAAAAAGAAAACAAATTGTTTTTTTTTTAAAACAGACTAAAAATAAAAGTAATACAAACAAATTGAAACCGAGATGGTAATTTTTTTCTTGATTGATTGATGGTAATTTTATTTTGTTACAACTTCTTATAAATAGGGAGCTTACAGAGATGATAAAGGAAAACCAGTAACTCTTGAGTGTGTTAGAAGAGCTGCTGAAAAGATTTCTGGCTGTGAAATCTTGTAAGTAGCATCTGTTTTTCTTTTTTTCTTGATTCGAGTTAATGATAAAATCTTTGGCTAATTCAGAATCAAGATATGTTTTAATATAAATGGAGTGATAGGTTAGTTAGGTAAAGAGAACAATGAATAGTTGAGGTATGAAATTCACGAAAAAGTGATAGTTTAAGTGTATTTTTACCTTTATTGTTTGCATAAACTGGTGTTATATTTAAGGGCTGATGTTTCCTCTTTTTTCCCCTATGATTGAATAATTATTTTGGTTTAATGAGTGTACTCTAAGCTCATGTTGGATTTGATCAATCATATTTTTCAGAATTTCCTTATCTAATTACTCGAATTTGTCTCATTATTGTTGTTATTGATGGTTGGACAATGTTCTTTCACTAATAGGTAATTAAGGGGTCGTTTGGTTACTGTATAAGAGACCTCTTATTCATGTATAAAAAGTTGCATTAGCTTTACTGTGTTTGGTAGAAGTTTTGTATTAGGTATAAAAGTCATCATAACTTATACCACGTTTGGTTGGTAAGAATTTAAATGTTGTATAAAAGTTATTCATGTATTAATTTATACGGTGTTTGGTTGCATTTTTGTAGTCCTACATAATTAATACCAACGTAACTTATGAGGGAATCTATGTATAAAGTTATGCAGGGTAGAAGGTGGAATAAGTTATGTGGGTATTAGTTATACATGTATTAAAATGATAGATTACATATTTACCCTATTAATTTATTTTTTATTTTTTAATTGGAAACTTTACTGTTTCCTATATACGTTTGTTGTTTTTATTTCTTTTTATATATAGATCATTTTCATTTCTTTTAATTTATTTTATTTTATTTAATTGGAAACTTTACTGTTTTCCTATCTACGTTTGTTATTTTTATTTCTTTTTATATATAGACTATTTTCATTTTTTTTTATATTTACCGTTTTTATTTATTATGCAAATATAAATATTTTTTTAATATTAGAGATTTGATTGTATATTTTTTGACGGTACATATGCTAATCAAATATTAGCATTATGCTGGAGTTGTTCTATCAGTTTAGGATTTTTTTGTTTCCAAATTAGATTATTTCTAGTTGTTTTTGTTTTGTCTATTTTGTTGACCGACTTGGTCACTCTTGGACCTTGTTTGGACACATTTTTATTTGATGAATAAATAGACATGGTCCAATGTTGATTAAAAAAAAAAAAATATATTAGTATTGTATATTATTCAATATATTCCACATTTTATTAACATGTATTATTATTTTGTAAATAATATATATTAATAATTTACTACAAGTTTAATATAATAGTTAATAATTCATGTATTGTAATCTCTACATAACTAAATAATACCTACATAACTAATATCCACATAGCTAATACCCGCATAATTAAACCCTGCATAACTAATACCTGCATAACTAAACCCTGCGTAACTAAACCCTGCATAATTAATACCTGCATAACTAAACCCTGCATAACTAATACCTGCATAACTAAACCATGTATAACTAATACCTGCATAACTCTAACCAGTAACCAAACGGCCCCTAAGTACTTTAGATATATTGTTGGTACACCAGTCATTCCAGACACCAAGTCGAGGTGTCTAGATGTGCACTCTCAAAGTCGTTGGAGTGCTTACTTGCCAACTGTTTATGTATTAGGAATATTTTCTAGGTTCATCATATTTCATTGCAACCATAACCGTTGCTTTTCTCTTGGCAGGGAATCAACAAAAGCAACAACAAAATCAAAGTTTGTGCAGGACTGTATTAAATTGGCTTATGGAAATGACTCTAGTGTTGTTAGAGAAGGCAGGTTTGCTGGTGTTCCAGCTCTTTCTGGGACCGGTGCGTGCCGGCTGTTTGCGGAATTCCAAAGGCGCTTCTATCCTAACTCACAAATGTTTCTACCAATGCCAACTTGGTCCAAGTAAATGTTTCTCACATTTATACTTCTTTTTCATGCCATGCCATGCCATTATTAATTAGTACTATGATTGAAATGTGTCCTCTTTTGAAGCCACCACGACATTTGGAGGGATTCTCAAGTTTGTACAAGAACCTACCACTATTATGATCCTGATACAAAAGGATTGCAATTCCAAGCCCTCGTGAATGATATCAAGGTTTGGTGAATTTTCTCTAATTGTGTTGCGAAATTCTTGCTTCAACTTCATCGCCAAATCTTACATCCTTACGTATGAGATTGTGAGCCTTTGTAAAAGATGCCTTATGTTGCTGAGCTATTTAGAGGCCAGCACTAAACTCTGCCATGTGATGATGATTCATTTTAATTCGCGGTATTTTTGTATGTGGTTACAATGTTTGCAAGGCGAACTCTTGTTCAGTTAACTTTCTTCTTTTGGAGTTTCGATTACGTTACCTGGCCCTATTCATTTGATAATCTCACAGAACGCTCCAGATCGTTCCTTTTTCTTACTTCATCCTTGCGCTCACAACCCAACTGGTGTCGACCCCAACTATGAGCAGTGGAAAGAAATCTCACACATATTTAAGGTTAGTGGCATAACTTGATACTTTTTTTTCCTCCTACTTATGCGTTTAGATAACTTCTTATGCACTATGTTTGTGAAAAATGTTTTCAGATCAAGAATCATTTTCCTTTTTTTGATATGGCTTATCAAGGAATTGCTAGCGGAGATGTTGAGAGAGATGCCACTGCTATTCGAATATTTCTAGAAGATGGACATCTATTGGGCTGTGCCCAATCTTTTTCCAAAAACATGGGCTTGTATGAACACCGAGTAGGTTGTGTCAGGTAGAAAAACTTCAAGTTACAGTGTTCTGCAACTCCTCATTTTGAACAATGCCGAAATAATACTATACTTTAATTAGTTAAGACTATTCACTCAATCCATTGAACGAACAGAAAACATAAACGGTATAGATCCATAAACGGAGTAATTTCAACTTGTTCATTTTTAGTAATCCTGAGTCCACTTTAGTGATTAGTAGTCCACAAAATGACCACAAAGTATTTGGTTCTTTATGATTTCTTGATTTGTCTCCAGCTCTGAAACTTCCCGTCCTCTCGTTTTCTTTTTGGAAACCAGTATTGTCTCCAGGGATGATAAGCAAGCCACAGCAATCAAGAGCCAGTTGCAGCAAATTGTCAGGGCAATGTACAGTAGCTCACCGGTTCATGGCCCATTATTAGTGTCAACAATCTTGAATGATGCTGATTTAAAGGCACTTTGGGAAGAGGAAGTTAAGGTAATTAATGTAACCATTATGTATGAGTAGTGAGTACTACTTTCTTACCATTCCATTTCCTTACGAACGTACCAATTATATATTTTCACATAAAGGTCATGGTGGATCGCTTAATCAGTATGAGAATCACATTACGTCAAACACTTGAGGAGTTGAACTCATCTTCGAGCTGGGAACATATAACGAAGCAGGTAACAATTCTCAAGTTTTTGCACAATTGCATATTAAATGCAGCTGCTAATTGTCAAAACTTCAGGTTGGAATGTTTTACTTCTCTGGTTTATCCCCTGAGGAAGTTAACCAATTGCAGAGGGATTTCCATATATACATGACTAACGATGGGCGCATCAGGTACTTATAACTCACTAAGATTTCTTCAATTTCAGTACTGATACCTAGATACGCGATGCTGATGACATTATGATAATAAAGGTGATATCAATAATAACATGAGAATAATGAATTTGTTGGTATTTCCCTCATTTGTTCAGCAAGCAAGAGTGGAGGGTATTTTTTCCGTTGCATGTATCTCTCTTCGTGTCCCTCAAATCCATTTCTCTAAAAATACTTCATGTTAGAGTTACAATAGAGTATTTGTTTTTAAATTACCACAAAGCTTGCTCCATCGTATATCGATTTAGTTGTTTTTCACAAGAAACTTAAGAAAGAAAACAGAAAGAACCAAAGGATTCTCAAATTTCTTCTTTTTTTCATGCTTTTTGCAATTGACATGGCTGATGCAATATTGTCATATGGCAGCATGGCAGGGGTAACAAGCAGCAATGTAGACTACTTGGCAAGTGCAATCCATGAAGTTACCAAAGTGTAAATAATAGCAACTGTATTGGTTCAAAGCATTTTGAATATGTAGTTTAGCAATTCTTATTGAGATCTTGTGCAGAAAACCATTGTCTAATACTGTTAGAGGCTGTTCGGTAGGATGTATTAGAGAAAATAATACATGTATACACCTTATTTAGTACTATTCTTATACATAACACCAATGATATTAGCAATATAAGGGTTAATAATATATCGATAAGAATGGTTTAAGATGGAACTGGCATTTGAATCACCAAGCCAAACATTGGATAAGAAAATAATCCCAGGATAATTAATCCCAACAATATAATTAATACATCTTATAATTCTGTTAAGGGGTCGTTTGATAGCTGGATAAGAAATACATTATTCATGTATTAATATTTGTATTACTTATACAACGCTTGATAGGTAGATAGGAAATAAATTTTTTGTTTGTAAAATTAATATGACGTGTGGTTGACAATTTAGAAACTTATATAACTAATACATTACTAATACTAATCCCTACATTACTAATACATGTATAACTCTAACCCAATTACCAAACGACTCTTATAATACATACACTCTACCAAATGACTCCTTATATTTGTTAAAGATGCAAATTTAACAAATATCTTGGGACGAAAGAAGTTTGGGACGCCTTGAGGCTTCACTATTTTTCCCTCCAACACTAGAATCCGTTCATATGCAGCTTCAAAACCTAAAGCAGGATGATCCAACTGTCACACAATATCTAGACAAGGCAAAATTGATTTTGGGTGAGTTAACCTCTATTGGACGTCCTTTATGCCTTGCAAACCAGAACATATGCATATTCAAGGGGTCGGGTTCAGAATTTAAAGATATTATTACCACCTTATTGGCGGGATCTCAACCTGTTACTTTTGCCGAGTTATATAGCCTCCTTCTGAACCATGAGTTCATCAATGGTTTGTACTAATTCTTCAACTATGACATCTTCATCAACGAATTCTTCATCAAGTTATTAGGGGACACATAAATTGCCTTGTACTAATTCTAGTTTTAATTCTCATCTCCAACCCTATTCTCTATTTTACTCTTCAAATATAGAGTTCTCTATTTTTTCAGACAATCAACTCCAACGCAATTCTCTATTTTACTTTTTAAAGAAGAATCCTTTTTCTCTTTCCTCAATATTATATTACTAGTTTCTGGACACTACGTTGCGCTTGTGTCCTATGCAATATTTTATAAATTCGTTAGGACGATTAAAATTCAATGAAAACATGAGTGTAATTTGTAATGAGTACTAAAATGCAACAATCACAAATAAATGTTATGATAACAATTTTACTTTTAAAAAATTAAATTAAAGAAGTCTAATAGAGAAATATAGAAAAATAAACATAGAAGAAAAAAATAATATACGCATCCTTCTTAAGACTTTAATCATAATGTTATATAAATGTAACATTTAACGGTAGATATCACCGGAGACTAAGCAACTTCAGTAGAACTTGATGGTTGGGGAGAAATTATTTGAGCTCCATTGGATTCGAAAGCTTCTTTCATCCATCTGCAATTTATCTATTTGTCAGGAAAAGAAAAATGTGATTTGAAATATAAAAAGAATGATTTTTTACATACCCAAATTGTTTCTCAGAAAACATGTTCCCTTCCTAATATTTGTATATCAGTTTGTTACCAGTTACTTATCGGCTACAACGATCCATCTACTTCTATTACTCTTTTTAATCCCATTACAACCATACCTCAATTACATGCATCTTCGAGTCGGCATATGCATTCTCACTATTCATTTCACTCTATTTGGATCCATTTCATTCTAGTATTTACTACTAATTTATGGATCTCAAACAATACAAGTTCTCTATATTTCCTAATGAGACACATCTTAAGAAACTAAAAAGATTTCTAGTGAATTGGCCTAATGTATGTTTACCTTCTTCATGACTAAGCATAATTCCAATGATATGACTATCATATCTATTATGTACCTGATGATGCGATGGAGAAGGGAAGAGTTCACAATTGCAAGATAAGATCTAAAGCAAAGAAAAATAAATAAAAATTAGTAATTAGCAAAGACAAAGCAAATACAAGAGAAAACTATAAAAAAGATTAGAAGTAAAAAATGATAATTAATTTACAATACATATATAGGAAATGAAAATTATAACTATTCATATTCCAAAACTGAAGAGTCTATGCATTAGTTATACCATTCAATTATTTAAATGATTAGAAAACTGAAAAAATTTAATTTAATACGGAAAACTAACTAAATGCTTTGAAAACATAAAATAATATACTCCCTCCGTCCCATTTTATATGTCACCTTTTTTACTTTGCACTTGCATTAAGAAATGATGTAACTTTACCCTTCTACCCTTATTTAATGTTTTCTTAAATCAACTTTATTAATAAATGACAAGATTAATTAACTATTCTATCAAGTATAATAGGCAAAATATGGTAATTTATGCATAAATTTTATAAAATCACAAGTATTGTGGTCCAACTATTTATAGAAATGGATGACATATAAAATGGAACGGAGGGAGTACGATTTAAATAGCTAAAGTTGTATGGTTGCTGAAAATTGAGATTGAGCCATTGAAGAGACATAACTCATAATTGATAAATAAAAAATTAACTTTTGAGTCGGATTAATAATTAATAATTAATTAATATATACAATTTATAATATTTTTATTTAGTGTAGGGGTAAAATGGTAATCCAACTTTGCACTTTAATTTGAAGCTTCCCACTTTTAGTGCAAAATGGTAATCCAATTTTTATGTGCCAAAATGGAATATAAAAATTGGAGTTCAAGGGTTAAAATGGAACAAGGTTGAATTGGAGCGCCAAAATGAAATTTAGGGACAAGTTTAAGGGTCTACATATATGTTTGGGCCTTTATCTTTCTATTTCAAATAATCATCCTATAATCTATATAATCTTCATGTAATATAAAAATTATTCTTATCAAATTCTTTATTTAATAAAAAATTATTTTATTCTAAATTTCTAAATAACATAAAGGCAAAAGGGTTTGGTGGACCCTTATACTTGTATGAGTTTGTATTGTGGACTCTTCTTCTTAACATTTTGTCAACTGAACCCTTATACTCAATAAAACACAACATATTAAACCCCTCTGACCATTGACCATGCTTATGTGGCAATAATATAGATGAGTTGACAAGAGAGTGTAACTACACGCCTGTTAAGAAAAGTGAACATGATATTTTAAATTTTAAATTTTAAATTATTAAAATTATAAAAAAATAAAAAAATATTTTTTTTTTAAAAAATCCATCTTCTTCCCCACACCACCTTCTTTTTCAGCCACCCCCACCCCCACCCCATCGTTGTCCCAAGTCCCAACCCCATTTTTCTTTCTTCTCCACACCCTATCGTTATCTTCTTTAGCCGATCTTGGCATTGACACTTTCGTGACGTCAAATTTCATGGTGATTATCAGTGGAGGGAGAGAGCGGCGTTGGTTTCATGGTGGTGCTCGCCGGTTCGCAGTGGTGTGAGAGGGAGAGAGGCGACGCTGGTCCTTTTTCGCTGGAATGGGAGGTGATACTGGTCCCTTTTCCGTCAGAATAAGAGGCGGCGAGGGAGTTTGCTGGAACGCCGAGAGGATGAAGAGGAGACGCCATTTCTGGTGGTTCGCAGAGAGTCGTCAATGGTGTGAAGAAAGGAAAATAGTGAAAGGGAGAACGAGGCGGGAGATGACTCGAGGAACTAGTTACGGCGGCGAAAATGTTTGCTGGCCGAAGCTGGTGGACTAGCCGCTTACGATTGCTAGTTCTGTGAAGGTCGGAGAAGAGGAAAGGAAAATGGTATTGCGGCAGAGGAGCCTGATTTACTTTAAGAAATAAATTAAATTCTTATTATTTTATTTTTTATTTAATAAATTTAGTTAATAATTTTTTTAAATAACAATTAGTAAAGAAAATGATGATTATTATTAATTTTAATGACATGGATTTGACATGTCATCTGTTCAAAGAAGAGTGAGCTACACACATGGTAGGAGGGGTTTTAATTTATTTTTTTTGATTGAGTTTAAGGGTTTAGTTGATAAAGGGTTAAGTAGAAGTATTCACAATACAAATACATACAAGTACAGGGGTCTACCAGACCCTTTTGCCTAACATAAATTGCAACAAATATTATATATAATACATATAAACGAACAATTCCAATCAAATTGAAAAAGTTATTTTAAATTTTAAATAGATATTCAACTTTCAAGACTATTATATTTTTCTCATAAATGCTCTATTAATGCATTACGAAGTTCAAAGTGAGTAATTTTTTGTCCTTATTTTATTTATTTGTAGCTAAAAATTGTTTAAAATTAACAACTTCATTTGTATCTAATTATTTCCTATACTAATTTTTACTTCTCCTATTCCATTTTGAACTATTGCATCAAGTATTTTCATACCCATTAAAAAATGTAGCTTAATAATTTAATCACTATAACATAAAAGTAGATTATTGAAATTATCAGTGTAAACTTTGTGTATTCTTCATAGAGAAAAATAATTATAATTTTAAATTACATATTAAAGTGACAAAAAAAGTTTTTAAAAATGAAATTAGAAAAATTGTCAATTCGGGATGGAAGTTGTATACTTATCAATAATATGTTTTTAGATATTATATTACTTAGAAAATAATTACAAATATAAGCTTAATTAATAGTCTTATATAATATAAATAATATTAAAATGATTTTAAATTACATATTTAAAGTCCTAATTTTTTTTAAAACAAAAATTGAAAAATTATTAATTCGGATGAAAGTAGTAACTTGTCAATAATATATTTTTAGATGTTATATTACATTAGAAAATAATTACAAATAATAAAGACTTAATTAATGATATCATAGAAATAATATTAAAATAATCAAAAAATGAAATGGAGAGTTGAAGAACTACTATTCACCTCTCTATAAATGAAGTATAGAAAGTAATATAGAGAGAGGTTGGAGTGAGCATTCTCTATTTTACTCTACAAATATAGAGAATTGAGAGTTAAATAGAGATGAATCGGAGATGGTGTGTTTGTCAATTCGGCAAGTAACAATACAAATTGTATTTGCCTTTGAGCATTAATAAGAGTCCATCCATTTCACAATTATTACTCCC